CGGGCCAGCGTCTTCGCTTTCTCTCTTTTCAATGCCCAAATATATATCTATCTTATTTTAAGTTCAAAAATTTTGGGGAATTTCAAGCAACGCGAACAGACTACCTACAGTTTCTTTATTCTCTTTTTCTTTCCAACATCAAAAGAAAAAAAGGATAGATTAATTGTGTAGAGAAGTTCAGTAAAAAAAGAACAAGCCTCGTGTCAATAAAAGCAGAAGAAGAAGAGAGAGGGAGCAAGCGGCGAGATGAGTCGGCCAGCTGGAGGCGAGAGAGAGAGAAAGAGAAAGAGAGAGTGAGGCTCGCCACACGGCCATATTGCCGCGATCGAGCATAGTGTTTGTTTTGTCGGTGGAACGGTGGAAGCTGCGCGTTGGTCCTATGCGTGCGCGCGCGCACGCATACGAATCTGTCTCCGCGTCTCTTGTCAAGCAAGCTGGCAGATTGTGGCAAATCTCAAGCGATCACCGCGCCCATTTGAAGTCGCTGACGGAACCCGTCGGTGTTGTGTTATATCATTCAAGACACCCCGCCTTCCCTCTCTCCTCCCACCCCTTCTCTTGAGCCCCTCGTATCCGACGTCGGTCCGCGCCCCACCCTTCTCCCCCCGACCCCCGGGGGGGGCCACGGCCCTCGCGACTGGGTGTCAGTCGCGCACGGGACACACGGGTAAGTCCGAGAACACTGCGCCACCACCGACAGCAGTAGCACCATGGCGTGCGCCACGCTCAAGAGGTCCTTGGAATTCGACCCGGTGCACAGCCACGGCCGGCCCAGCAAACGACGGAGGTGCATGCCGATGTCGTGTGCCTCGCCCGGCGCTTCCGCGTCGTCACCACGGAGTGGACCGCTGCCGCAGAAATCGTCGCCGTTCGGCGAGATAGCTAGCAAATTGACGCCTGGTAATTACACCGCAGGCTACGGCCATTTTTTCTCTCGCTCTCCGTCGCACCCGTCGCATTTCCCCTATGTTTTATCTCTGTCTCTCGCTCTCCTCTCCTCTTTCGCCTTCCTGTCGTTTTCTTTCTCTCTCTCTTTCTCTCTCTCTTTTTCTCTCTTTCTCTCTCGCTCGCGCTCTCTCCGTCCCTCCCTCGCAAGCATATTCGTCTTCATTGCGCATAGAGAGAATGAGCGTGAAGGGGCGTGAAGGGATAGGTGAAAAGATTGGGCGAAAGAGAGAGATGGCGAGTAGGGGCGGCTAAGCTCCAGCGATTTAAAACCCGTCCACACTGGGGAAGGGGGGAGGGCACGCGTAAATCATATGGTAATGTAACGGACGCGCTTGGGGATTCGGGTTTTCCTTCCCTTTTTTTCTTTTTCCCCTCCGGTTTTTCCGTGCTGCGAAAAGAAGCTCGCAAAGATGCGCCTGGAGAAGCGTTTTCTACTTTCCATGCACGCGCGACAAGTCTGTGGTAGTACATATATATGTATACATATATATATGCTAATACAAGAGATCGTTATATACATATTTATACATGTATGTGCTAATACAAGAGATCATTATATACATATATATATACATACACATACATATTGAAAGTGATGTTTCATTTTTGAAAGAGAGTTATCGCTGACGCGTCCGTCTTGTCAACAGGAATACTTGAGAGACATGATTAGAGAATTTAGATTATGTTAAAGGATGGAAAATAGGATATTATTCAGGTACACTGAATAAGTCGTGCTTAAACCTGTGTAAGTGGTTGAAAACACAAAAACCACAGTTGAGAAAAACTAGGAGAAATGAAAACAGCTATTAGAAACGTGCCAACTGACAGTGAAATATAAGATAAATATAAGATAAAAGCTACCAACGGAATAAACAGATAGTAAATTGAGAGAGAAACGATAACTAATCCAGTCAACATGCCACAAGTTGTCGTAAAAAACATTACAAGTACATTTATAAAAACATAAATGCTATATGCCTATCATTAAATTATTATCCAGATTTTATAAGTCGTTACAGTAGCATGCGACATACCTGGACGATACATGATATTTAATGTAGTGTATTAATTATTTATATAATATGATATTCAGAGATGCCAAAGTTAATGCTATCGTAATGGCAACGTTTCATTAACCTTGCCGTTCACTTCATCAGGGCGAGAAGCGCATTAATAATGTATCACGATGGTATAAATATATAATTAAAAAATAGTAAAAGGAACAAGCTCTGTTGGAAAGTTTGTCATTTTAACTTTCACCAAATCACCCTTAAGTATTTATCTGGGCAAATATTTTATTTTTAAATTTAAATATTTTCGTTTACATAAATTTTACAAGTCTTATTACCATAAAGAAGTCTTATTACTATAGGAACTGTTAATTTCGTATAAATAGGAATCAATAAAGTACACATTTTTAGTGTTATTTTGAATACGAGATCCCTGCTTATAAATATAATATTTATCTCGATAAATTATTGTTTAACTGCACATCAAATGGAGTAACAATCAATTTTACTTGTTAAAAAAAGTTTTGCGCATCTCCTTCCGCGCTGACTCTCAGTAGCCTAGATTATCTTTGTTTTTGTTATTTTAAAGAGAGAGAGAGAGAGTCCTTGATAAACACATTTATTTTCTTGTATATTAATGTATTATAAACTAACTAATACGTTAACTACCGTTTTGAAAGTTAATCCAAATTTAAAAAATATATAAAATGTATTTTTAAACATTGTACATTTGTTTATGCAGAAAAGATGGCTGCCAACATCAGAGAAGAAATCCGCAGATTGCAGCGACGTAAACAATTGCACTTTCAACCTCAGACGAACAGCGGCGATTCATCAGACATGGAAGGACCTTCTAGTCCTTCTGGTCCATCTGGCTCTTCTTTAACTCTCTTTAGTCATAACACTAGTGGAAAAGAAAAGCCACTTTTCACATTTAGACAGGTAAAATCTAATTATATATATATTTTTGCATATTTTAATAGCAAATACAAATATGAGGATCTGTCTTTTGTTTATGTTCCCATATAGCACAGAAACTTGCAGGAACATTGCTGCAATGTTTGCAATATTGCTGGAATGATCTGTATAGAATTGGGATTACTTCATTAGAGATAAATATCAATTATTATAAGTAAAAGTTTTGATTTGTCCATAAAATTGATATTATAGGTTGGCTTGATCTGCGAGCGAATGCTCAAAGAGCAAGAAACGCAAATCCGAGAAGAGTATGATAAGATCTTACATTTAAAGCTCTCCGAACAGTATGATGCTTTTGTTAAATTCACATACGATCAGATACAAAAAAGATTTGAATCTGCAGCTGCACCGAGTTGTAAGTACTTACTTTAAGATTGATGATGTTTACACGTCTTTTGTTTTTCTCGTATTACTCTACACGATTTTTATATTTCCAGATCTATCATAAGAAAAGTTTCTTATTTATAAGAAGACGTTTCTGTGAGGAGTATTAGGTAAATTTTATGAACATGTTCTTTTTTTTTCTAGAGAAAACTGTGAAACATTTAATTAATAAGATATAAAGCAGAAATCTATCACTACTTTTTTTAAAAACATTTTATCATATTGTAGATTTCTACTGTGTGAGACAAATTTTGCTTGCGCCGAGGTTTGCAGCGCCGCCTCGCTTCGGGAATCACCTCTAAAAAGATAAATGGTTTCAGCAGTGTCTAATAAAAAAAAAAGAACTAAAAAAGGTGAGAACGGGGAAAGATAAAAAAAAAATAATGATTAGTAATGTAAGTTCGTAGAGAGAAAGAGAGTGAGAGTGAGAGAGAGAGAGAGAGAGAGAGAGAAAAGTAAATTACGGTGAATTGTAAACATATTACGAAAATTTACCATGTATACTTTCGAGACTAACAATATTTGTACTGTTCGACATTAGAAGTGCGCTGGTATCAGGGAACTGATTCTACTTATGTACAAATGTTATTACGGTTAAAAATACGATATATTTACACAGTGCAAGGCTAAAACGCAAGGCTTGATATCCAGCTAAAAGAAGAGAAAAAGAGAGAAAGCTGAGAGGTTTATTTCTTGTTTGTCACACACACACACACACACACACACACACACACACACACACACACACACACACACACACACACACACAGATATATTTTTCTCTTAGCTTGTTTGGAATATTGTAAAATGTAAACGGAAATTTGAGACACTGCGCATGTCGTATAGATAGAGCATTGTGTCGAAAATACTAAGTAAGGTATTTCAATAAGTTTTTTGTTTGTTCTTGACGCTACGACAGTTTAGACATTGCTCAAGTATATACGGCAACCAATGCTCTAAGCATCTTATCGCAAATGTGTGGGATGACATCTTGCGAGGCTGGAGATAATGTGCATTCGTGAATAAAAGGATTGCCTTTTCGAATCCTATCTGCTCAGCGAAGAGCGGGATAACGTTTAGAATCCAATGTATGATTGCGATAAATTAAAATTAAGAGATTAAATAATTCTACGACTTTTACTTGTAAATTAAAATTTACAAGAAAGCCACATTAGTATAATGACTTGTTAAATTGATAGTGATGAATTTGTTTTGATTGATTTTGAAGTTATACATTCGTATTAGATTCTAAGATTTTTTCCTTTGGCTAGAAAATTTTCTATTTCACATAGATATACAGAAAAGTAAAAGTGAAAATTTTTTTGCAATTTTTTTAATTTTTATCAAAAATTCTTGTAAAAAACAAAATAAAGATCTCATTTAAGATAAACGTTACGAAGAGCTGTAAAAGTGTCGGGATAATATTGTAGACTATAGTAGGCATTGTATGAAGGCATTGTGAAGCGTGACTATTTGGAATAAAGATTTCATAAAATCTCGTCACACACAGCATTTCTGTTCCCTGGTAGCAACGAATTTCTGTAGTTGTAATTTAAAAAAAAAGTGCTGAATAATGAATATAACTATATACTGTACTCTAACTGTGCCTATTATTAGACATGTTTGTCACGATTATTATTATTATTATGTTATTATTTACTGTTATCGCCGTCGTAAAAAATTTTTTATAGTTTGTAGCAATTCTCATTACGTTGTAATACCATATGCTGCGCGCGATGTTTTCTTTTTCTTTTTTTACTCGATTAAGATAGGGTCCTGCGAGTCTTGGTGGTTGCGTGCATTTTTTTATGTCCCAGCGTGAAAATTTTTGTTTCGCCGAGTATTGAAAAAAAGCATTTAAAGCACCAAGTAGAAAGTTCTGTCGAAAGTTGTAAGCACAATGTAAAGTGATCTTCGATCGACTATGCCTATGGTCACGACTGTCGAGGAAGTGACATGTACGATTTCGATGGGCATTCGAATTACTACTGCCTTTTTCATATTGCGTAAAAGAAAAGAAAGAAAGTGTCTCTCAGTTACCACAATATTTTTGGGAGCATCGTACGCCGATGGTGTTCACGCCCACACACGTAAACACAGAAAAGTATATACTATGTTACATCGATTGTCTACAGACTATTGATTGTGAGAAAAAAAAGAAGAAATAAATTACGAAGAAATATAAGCGGGTTTAATTATTAACGCTAAGTAATGTCTACTTGACGCTCGCGATAGATACGCGTTAAAGAAAATCGTGAACACGCGAGCGATCGTTTCATGAAAAATTCAGGGGATTTCATTTAAGCTGCAGAAAATACCTCCGTATTATATTATTGTAAACATTCATTATCGAAATAAACTTAAGACTGAAGAGGTGTGAGACTATTATTTCCCTCAATAAAATTATCATTCTTCTATACAAGACATAATTGTTACAAACGATTTACTTTACAATTTGTAGGTAAAATATTGCGAAGAAATATATACACAAATGTTTCATATTACAATGTTACTGGTGTTGAATATTTATATCTTGACCAAATGTGCAATGATCGAAAATGTACATGACGATTCTTTCTGTCACACATAACTCGCAATCCTTTTAAATCAGTTTTATAACGAAGTAATCCTATTAGCAGTATTATTAGTAGTACGGCTTCGAGGGAAGCCCCGGCAAGACTATATGAATCCGGACTGGGTGCTAGAGACGTGTCACTTCTGGGCGGGAAATAAGTTTCTCTGCTAAAACACTTTGTTCGTTTAGAAAAAAAAAGTGCCAAATGTTCCCCGTATTATTTTTAGCCTTCGTTGTAGCCATTAAGGTATTTAAAAAGGCCACTCCTAATGGTGAGTACGCTCAATTCTATCGAGACTTTTTCAAAATCTTATATTCCTTAATGAGCCGCCCTTAATGATGTCACGTTAAAATATCCTATAGGCAAAATTACGGTATATCTGGGCAAAAGAGATTTTATCGACAATCTAGATCGCATTGATCCCATCGACGGCGTTGTCGTCGTAGAAAATGACTACCTTCAGGGACGCAAGGTCTTTGGTCAGGTAGGTAAAACACAAAGACATGGTTCTTGCTCAGAAAGTCGTCCAGCACATTTCTCGTTAATATATAATAATGTAACGTTATATATTGTATTTAGGTCTCGACAACCTACCGATATGGCCGTGAAGAGGACGAAGTTATGGGAGTCAAATTCAGCAAGGAGCTGGTATTAAGTCGCGATCAAATAATACCAGTGAAGAAGGAGAAGCAGGAGACTACATCGATACAGGATCGCTTGCTGAAGCGCTTAGGTTCAAATGCATATCCATTCATGTTCTATTTTCCGCAAACGGCTCCTTGCTCGGTCACCCTCCAACCCGGTGATGATGATCAAGGGAAACCCTTAGGAGTCGAATACGCTGTGAAAATATTCGTTGGAGATAACGAAGAAGATAAGGTATAAAAATAGGAGATGAGACACAGATACATGAATATAAGAAATTAATGCAAAATATAAAAATAAATTAATTTAAACCAGAATTTCTGCAAAAACCTGCTTTATATTTTATCAGGGACACAAAAGATCTTCTGTTTCGTTGACCATCAAGAAGTTACAGTACGCTCCACCAATACGAGGACGCCGACTTCCCAGCTCTTTGGTTTTTAAGGGATTCACTTTCTCCCAGGGCAAACTGAATCTGGAAGTCACACTAGACAAAGAGCTCTACTATCACGGCGAGAAAATTGCGGCGAACGTCACAGTTACGAACAATTCGCGAAAGGCAGTAAAAAACATTAAGGTATATTCTAAAATTAAATTCCATCCTTTTTTTCTCGTGAGTCAATTAAAATTAAATCAAAGAAGTGTTTGCATTTTACGCTATCTCGTGTTTTATTCGTAGTTGTACGTCGTTCAACATTGTGAGGTGACCATGGTAAACGCCCAATTTTCGCGACACATAGCTAGTTTGGAAACTCGCGAGGGTTGTCCGATCACACCAGGTGCATCTTTTATGAAACAATTTTATCTTGTGCCTCTGGCCAGCAGCAACAAAGATCGGCGTGGCATCGCTCTCGACGGGCATCTCAAAGTGCGTAATAAGCTTAAATAAGCTTGAAATGATTAAACATAATTATTTTATTAATCAGTGACTTTTTTCTTATGTTATACTGTTAAAAGATATAAAAGATTATATAACATAAACTTTGCCAATATTGTGTAGTATATTTATTTAAAAATATTGTTTATATAAATATGATAAACTTATAAAAATTAATGTTTTAGTATAATGTAGAAATATATAAAAAATATAATATATAAAAAATTAATGTACTTAGAATAATATGGAAAAATTCATCTTGAGTATTCTGTTTAGGATGACGACGTAAATTTAGCATCCTCAACTTTGGTAGCCGAGGGCAAGTGCCCAGCTGAAGCTTTGGGTATTGTAATCTCTTATTCAATCAGAGTAAAGTTGAATTGTGGTACTCTGGGTGGTGAGCTGGTTACTGATGTTCCATTCAAACTGATGCATCCAGCCCCTGGTATGTCGTTTAAAATATTTTAATATTGTATATGTATTGTAATTATTGTCATGTAAATATTTTAATTGAACAAAAAAATTTCACTTTCATTTTTGGACGAAAGAATTTAGAATTTAAATAAATCATTTTAAATTTCCAATTCAGATTTATTCAAGCATTTTCTTTCTTTGTGCAGGCGCCATTGAAAAAGAAAATGCCATATTGAAGAAAAGTAAGAGTATCGACAAGGCACGGTACGAGAACTCCTGCTACGCCAACGATGACGACGATAATATCATATTTGAAGACTTTGCTCGTTTGCGCTTGAATGAACCAGAGTAAACCAGAGAGACAGATAGAGGAAAAAAGCGAAAGATTAGCGCTTTTTATCTTGCGATTACTTTAAAAGAATCCTGAGCTTTCTGTTCGTGGTGAATTATCTTTCGTGTTTAAAATTAAAATTTTCATTTTTCAAATATTAAATCTAAAATTAAGTACACATAATTAAAAAACATACGACTTAAGATATTTTATATAATTTACTAAAAATTTTTGTCTCTTTGGATTCTTTTGATTTCGTTTCTAATAAACGACGAGCTGTGTTAAATGAATGTAGATAAAAAAAGAATACTATTTTAAAAAATTAACAATATAATATTATGAAACTGTTACTAAAGAAAAAAATTTTTAAAATATAAAAAAAGCGAAAAGATAACTAAATATAAAAAAATCGTCTTGGAATTTCTGTGCAATGGTGGTGGTTGGACAGAAATTCATTGCAAGATGAACAAAAAAAAAGAATGTCAAGTAAGCTTAATAATTGTATGGTTAAATTTAAGAATTTCCCGTTTTACCAGAAGTGACATGGTATATTATTCGTCCCAATTAATTTCTTATGTTTTACGATATTCCACACATTCAATTATTTATTTATTAACAATGAACTGTTAATTGACGATACTATTCAGTTGCAATTACATTAGAAAATACATATGAAACTGTAAAAAAAACGCACCTTTATCTTTTCTCTATTCAAATCAATTTTTCAAATCCTTTAGATGTTACAGCAAATACATGCACCTGCTATTATCGATATAGAGAAATACATACAGGACGATCCTGTCAGGATTGCTACGTCACTATGAAAGATCATCGCATCATTATCGAAAATTATATATATTTTGTGGCTATACAAAATATTACAGAGAACAACGATACCAAATCAATATCAGTCTTATGCAGAGCATTATGAAGACGACTCTCGTTGTTCTTCGCCTAGTCGTACATATGCGAATAATATTCCTGATACGTCTGGATATAAGACTCCTTTTCTATGGGCGTCATTTCCGCAATTAAGGTGTCGTTAACGTCGGTGATCGCGACGGTTTTGCCGCCGACACTGACGGTCGGTACTAGTTCATCGTCCTCGGAATCCATTGCCTCTATCTCGCCTAAAAATCAATTCGGCAATTGTAAAATTTAAGAAGATACAGATTAATTAGAAATCATCTGAATATTCTACCAGTTTCTTTTTTATCATTTTTCGGTTTCGAGGTCCTTTATATTATATTATTTTCTTCAGATAATTGATTGTCGGAATACGTTGGAATCTTTTAATAAATTTTTTCTTACCGGTATCAACTGCCTGCATTTCCTCCTCCTCGTTATCGCTACTGTCGCTGGATTCCTGTGGAAGCGCTGCTTTGATAGACGCCGC